TGTCAAAGTCCGTAGGCACAGGTGCTATAAACGCCTGGTTGAACGTATATGGCTCCATACTATCTACAGAAGCGATGTTCGCAGGAGTGTCCGGGACGCCAGCAGATGAATGCGACCCCGGAGTTTCTGTGGCAGGAGCATGCGAAACACATGCAGATGAACATGACACTGGGTGCAAATAACAATATATTGATGAGAAAAACCTTGATTATATTGTGAAGGTCCTCTTTATATAATACAACCATGTTGAGCAGTCATATTATGTATTTATTTTGAATTTCTTTCTATTTTGACTACATGAAATATAGTGGACAAATTCATCATTTTTTCTGAAAAGAAATCTTGAATACATTCACAATATTTCCAGCATATAGTTAAGCCATATATTTTAGAAATAGAATACATTTGTTCTTGATTTTCTCATGACAGATATCATGAAAGTATATTTCATATTTTCAGCACAAATTCTGTGACCAAATTTAGAAAATCTTCACCATATTTTCACAATTTGATTGATTGATATTTCAAACTTATCTCACAATACTTCAAGTCCATTTTGAGCAATGTTGACAAAAAGGGGCATAAGTGATGAGTAGGTGCAAGATATTCTGAATATATTTTGAATTCTTAATCAATTAAATTCTGAAAATATTGGATTCTTTTTTTACATTTGGCCACCAAATTTATGCTAAAGATATGATGTATACTTTCATGATATCTGTCATGAGAAAATTCAGAAGAAATATATTCTATTTCCAAACTATATGGCTTAACTATACACTGGAAATATTGTGAATGTATTCAAAATTTCTTTCCAGAAAATATGATGAATTTGTCCACTATATTTCATATGGTCAAAATGGAAAGAAATTCAAAATAATTACACAATATGACCTGCTGAATATGGTTGTATTATATAAAGGGGACCTTCACAATATAATCAAGATTTTTCCCCTCAATATATGGTCATTTGCACCCAGTGTGAGCCTGGAATTTCGGTGAATGCTGCGTGGTCAGAGGAGCTGGGAGACGAGGAGGGAATACCAGCCACGTCGGATGAAACAGGGTTGGAAGTGAAATCTACGGGGTGATTACTGACTGGAGACCCTGGAGTTACATCTGCGGTCAGGGCATATCCTGGAAGGATATCACCAGGTACGGAAGAATCTGCGTTGTCGGACAGACCAAGTACGACAGACGGTCCATCTTCGCTATCAGACTCCACCTCGACCAGCATCGAGGTTTGGGACGTCAATGCATGGGGCACCTGGGCCTGGGTCGTGAGCGCGAACCAAGGAGAAGTGCCAACACTCAGGGCGGGTTCCAGTTCTGACAATGCGACTCGTAAATCTGCCAGTATGTCACCGCCCTTTGTAGCAGCAAACAGCACCTTCCAAACAGCAGTGTCAGCCGATACAACATAAGATGGCCTAGCAATGGACCCAAACTGGGCCCACGTCTCAAGGAGAGCGGCCTTGCCAGCAGACTGCTCATACGAACGAGGCATAAGCAGCATCAGAGGGGAGACTGCGAGGGCTAGAAATAGTGTCTTGTGCATCGTAGAACTACAGCCCTGCGTCCCAGCCCCAAACTCTAAGCGGATCCGATCCATCTGGTGGTGGTCGTCATCAGAAGTACTTGTAACACCCAATATCAGAACATAGAGCAATCAATCGTAACAAAAAGTACGCAACATACCTGGAAGACATTATGAATTCCTCAATTTCAGATGTGTTGGTGGGCAAGTAGACATTCCCTTGCAGAAGATACGCCAAGTGAATCGCGGCTGCGGAAAGGTTGATAACGATGTTTTTCCACCTGACTTTCTGAACGCTTTTTGCCAGGTGCGTGTATAACCCTATCAAAGAATTGGTCGACGGCACGGAAGATGAAGCCGGGAGAGCAGTTGCTTTTTTTTTTTTTGCCGCAGCCTTGTCACGATCCTCAAGGACCTTGTTGGAACGTGTGATGATCTTCTGTAGGTCGTTCAACTCTTCCAGAGGCTGGTGGGAAGTATTGTCAGCGGAATGGTACACTCAAGAACTTAAGAGGCATCAACGCACCACCTTTGTGCGTTTGGAGACCAGCGGAAGAGTGGAACCCGGGATGAGAGCTTGAAGGCGAGACCCACGCCTCGACAAATCGAGGTCAAGAAGTCGGTATGCCATAAGGGTCTTGTATAGACATTCCATCAGCTGGTCTGGGGGGACGCACGTGACCGGCCGACCGTGCATCAGCTCCGCAAAAAGTGAATATTGGTCCTCTCTGACAGCAGGTGTGTCCCTGAGTTCGAGTTCCATGAGCTTGGATGCCAGAGCCTACAAGCCAAAGCTAAGGAACCGCGTAAAACGGGGTAAAACCAAAATAAAACACACGTATGTCGGTGAGTCGCGTCCCAGAAGAGCTGGCAGGTCCTTGACGTGGTAGATATCGCTCGTTGTCCATGGATAGGAGGCAAATTATGGATTGTCGACCCTAACATGGCGAGCCATAGGTTCAAGTGACGTGGCAGGAGGACAGTAGTACGTGACCGCGACAGTTTAAATAGTGGAGTCACAATGCTAGTTATGTAATCAATAGTACAGACCAGAGACGCCGAGCGGCTTGGCATACATTGACCACTCAAGGATAAGTTATATACAGGGGAACGGGCACTGATCTGGAAAAAGTTCAAGGCATAATCAGGCAATTCCAGCATATGTCGGAGCTATAGGCAGCAGTTGAACGAAATAGTTCAGTATAGGGGCTGAGGCTGCTGTGCGCTGAGGTTTTTAGATTGCAGGACCACCCTAGGAAGAGGACAGGCTAGATAGAATTGATTCGTAAGGCAGATACTACTTCAGGGACTATGTATATATAGCGACCGAGCCGGCTCAAGCAGGCGTCTTTGTTTGACAATACAAGGCCTGTCACCTCTATTGGCAGCCACGCAATCTTCATCTCCTAACCGAATGGCGCGGCCAGCCATGACGGCATTCAACTTCGTGCGTTTGCTGTCAAAAGTACATCAACAAATAAAGAAGGACACAGAACATTGCACGACATACCGCACAGTCCTGGGAACGTGCTTGAGGAGGCAGGGAACAATGTTCACATCCCTGGGGTTGGCCTTGAAATTGTTCAACGTACTAAGGTGGACCTAGAACTTCTCGTGATAGCTTGTGGCAGCGAAAGGAACATACTGGGGTTCACCGCTCCGCCATTTAGTCAAGGCAGCACTCCACCTGTACCCATAACGGTGGAGATATCGACATCAGTGAACTCCTGGGATGAAGCAACTTCAAGGATAACTCACTGCAAATACAGGGCTACATCTCGCAAATGCACTACAAATTGGGCCTTTTATAATAAAATGAGCGTGATGCAATGCATTTGGCATCCCGATTCTGTCGTAGGCGAGTGTGTTGGCATGAAATGACGCCCAGAAGGAAGCTGAACTCACGATAATGTACACAGGCGATGATGATGTCATAGGGCGGCGCATCTAGCATGGATGCGCGGCTGTATGATGTCACGCTCGAGAAGAGGCCTGAGGGTTGTCTTGCAGGGAGTGAAAACGTAAGTGACGAGCACAAAGTGGATGGAGCAGGCGACAAAGGTAGTGATAGAGTATTAGGTCGTAGACAGGCCCCTGGGGATGTTGAGTTATCGGCGAACGGCGAACCTGTAGAGGGCGAAGGTCAGCCCATGGGTGTTAGAGGACAACAATGTGTGAACTATGACGTGTGTTGATGCGCAAATGTCTGATTTTGCGCGTTTGACACACGTCATATATCCCACGGATGTCAGAAATGGAGAGTTCACCAGAAAAGCACCTCAAACAGAGGACGTCAGAAAACAGGTACATCGAGAACGTCCAACAGATCGGCTAGTCACGATAGTTGGCATCTCAGGGATCTGAAAAAAAAATGCCGTGAAGTCAGAAATGCGGAGAAGGAGAGCGATAACGAGACAGTGGTGGAAAGAGGAGAGAAAGGCCGCAAAGAGGGACAGCAGGAAAGGCGGAGGAGGACCGTGAGAAGGTCCCATAGCCTGTAATGACGGACAAGACTGTACACATACCTGTTGAGCAGAGGGCGGTGATGAGAAGCCGTGGGAGCGGAGTCGCGAGCAGATAGGAAGGCCATGGAATGTGACACATCGAGCACCAACATTGAAAGACCGTGGATGGCAGTGAGGACGCATGAGAATGGACATTCAGATGGCGGTTGACGGTGGAGGGGCGTGGGACGAAGCTGGTGCATTACATAAACAGTAGTACAGACCAACGGCAGTCACATGGCATGATGGCATCAAGATCACATGATGATGCTTCTTCAAAATCGCGTTTTTTGGGGCCGCACTTTCAAAAATTCCTCACCCATAAAAATTTGTATAACCTCAATCTATAAATAGATCTCGGAACTTCACTCTTACTGACAAACCTGTAGTTTACTTATTATTGTGATATTCTACAGGTCAATATAGTCGTCTTCCACATACCGTGTCTGACACTAAGGTTTACTTATTATTGTGATATTCTACAGTATGGGCGCCTGCAGCCGAATCCATCTCCTCCTTCTGTGATACAACCCAGTCTCAGATCAAGCGTTGAACCAGCCTCCACCAAAGGTCTAGCGAGGATAACCGTCAAAAGCCCATAGAACATAATCACACTGACGGCTTGCATGCGAAGCGAAAGTTGAATCACTTCACCCTCGACGGGGATTCGCTATCCTGCTGTCGGTTTGCACATGCCGCCGTAAGGTAGCATAGAGGGAAGGGGCAGGATGATTTAACAGTGCTGCGCCTGGACATTTATCAATTGACGAGATGCGCATCGCAGGATCGAGGGTTACCACAATAACAAGACTCGAAGTCCGAAAGATCGTGATCGTGATAGCCTGTTATTGAGCTTTACCATCTCGGATTCGCAATAACTGAGTACCAGTCTAGATCAAAGGTAATGCTATGTTCGAGGTAAATTCTAAAAGTATATGTACAGTTCAACACGGGTACACGGGTCGATGGCGTAGCTGGTTATCGCATCTGTCTAACACACAGAAGGTCCAAAACATCTGTCTTGGTGATGTTGCAAAATTGGAACCGCTTATGCTGCAAGGTGCACAAAGTATATCAAGTTACCGCAAGAGCCGCAGATTCATACTGAGTCTCGATCTTCTCTGCAGTCTATGCCAAGGTACGAGCCTGTACGAGCTTACTCCGATTCCACGATATCAGGAACACCAAGCATGAACGGGTGATCGGCCCGTCTATAAATTGACTTTGACCAGCATCTCGCGTATCAAACTGATCAAATGCTCTTTCCTTCGTGACATCATGTCAACTTCATGCCACCTGTTGCCAGTGCCACAGCTCAACTACACCTCGATGCTTTTTCGTATTTCAGGGAGACTTCTGTCAGATTCTTACTTGAAACGTTGGCAATAACCTGGGTCCGAACCCTCTGCGACGTCGATGAGCCAGCTCGATTCGACGGTGTACGTTGATCCTTTGATTCTTGGAGCGTAAGTGACTCACGTATGGTCGACGGAATGAAGGTAGCGAGCGATCAGGGACCGATGGTAGCCAGTTATGGGTTCCCCGCATCGCGTCCTGAACGTAACTATCTCATGCACACTCCGGGCTCCTGTACCTGGCCGTTCAACGTTCAAATCCTGACATGCTAAGGTGTATTTTTACCTAGAATCGCTGTGTTACTTCCCACAAGCTGATCCAGATACCAAAGGCGTCGGCTCACACGTCAAAGGTGTTCCATCTCGGCCTCGAACCTGTGTCCCTTGGATTCGGCTTGTCAGTGTCATACATGGCGTCCAGACCACGTACAAGCTCCAATACGAACCCGGGTCTCCTATCTTTGAGTTGGGCAGCGGCGTGCGCCATCATCCCTATATGGGGGGTGCATAGCTGTTGACTCTTGCACCTGTATAAATACGATCGGAAGGCGTTGGCAGCCCTTGTGGTGACCATGAGCCCCTTCCAGATCCTTGTTTCCTTGGCCTGCAGTTTTCTGGCCTTTCCTCTCGTTCATACGGCTGCCATTCATGAAAATGCAGCAGATGTTCAAAACATCAAGTTTGACTTCATTATCGTTGGAGGTGTGCCGATCCTCTGCTTCGTTCTTCACACCGTTGCTTATTGACTTCCTTGCACAGGGGGTACCGCGGGCAACGTTGTTGCTAACCGCTTGACTGAGAACCCCAAATTCAAGGTTCTTGTCATTGAAGCCGGACCTTCGTACGTTGCATCCATTCATCGTTTCCAGATCTTGGCCAAATGTCATGCTCGCTCGTTTCTAGCAATGAAGGTGTGCTTACATCCCAGGTCCCATGGTTTGCCGCCAACAACTGGTTCTCGACTTACGACTGGAACTATACCACCACTCCGCAAGTGGGCCTCGGTGGTCGCCCCGCGATCCTTCCACGAGGATTTATCCTGGGAGGGAGCAGCTCTATCAGTCCGTCAAAATGTTCTCGTCCATTATAATCTGAGCTGATTGTCTGTAGATTTCCTGATGTACACGCGTTCTACGGCCGATGATTACGACCGCATCGCGAGAGTCACTGGCGATAAAGGATGGTCTTGGAAAAGCCTGCAGCCGTACTTCAAGAAGAATGAGAAGTTCGTCAAGCCAGCCGACAATCATGACATCACGGGCCAGATCGATCCGTCGGTCCACAGTTTCGACGGGGTGAATTCTGTTAGCGTGCAAAATTTCCCCACGTCCATCGACAACATGGTCATAAATGCGAGCCGCCAACTCGGGGGCGATTTCAAATTTGTGGAGGATTATAACAATGGGAAGCCCCTTGGACTTGGTGGGTATCCGTCTTTCTCGTTGGATACGGAGGGACTGAGCAGTCTGTAGGATGGCTTCAAACTACCGTTGATGGGCCCACTGGAAGACGGAGTAGCTCTGCAACATCCTATCTGGCACCGGAGTTCCTCAAGCGCGACAATCTACATGTCCTCGTAAACGCACAAGTCTCACGGCTCATCCAAACGAGACATGGGAAAACACCTTCTTTCCTCACCGTGGAGTTTAGACAGATCTCAAAAAGTATGTCTCAATTGTTTTCCTATATAAATCGAGTCTCACGCGATGTCGTTGCCAGGCCCCAAGCTGATTCGCTTAACTGCTCAGCGGGAGGTCATTTTATCGGCAGGAGCGCTTGGAACGCCACATATCCTGCTTAACTCCGGCATCGGTGATTCAAAAGCTCTTCGTGCGGTTGGCGTCAAACCTCTCGTCAATCTTCCCGATGTCGGCGCCAACCTGTGTGATCATTCGGCCATCGCCAATCCGTTTGTGGCGCTCACGAATGACAGCTATGAAGAGACGCGTAAGCCGGAGGTCACAGCGCGGCTCTTGGAACAATGGAAAAAGAACGGGACGGGTCCACTGGTGAACACGGTAGCCAGCCTTATCAGTTTCCATCGTGTGACTGGGGATGATGTGCCTCATCCTGATCCTGCTGCTGGACCTGATACACCTCACTTTGAGCATCTGTTTGCGGTGCGTGACTTTTTTTCGGTGTCTTGGGACTCTAGACTGACCTTGATGTAAAGAACGGTCTTATCGTTCCGAATGCCTTCGTACCACCAGACCAGCACATATTCAGCGTCGCCACCGCTCTCGTGTCACCCGCATCCCGTGGAACCCTCACTATAAACTCCACCAACCCCTTCGACCCCCCGATGATCGATCCAGCTCTCTTGAAGGAAGAGTCCGATCGCCGCATGATGCGCGCTGCGTTGCGGCATGCGTTCAAATTCGTATCCGCGCCTATCTTCAAGGGCTATGTACTTGGCCCCGCTGGTGACCTCGCGAACGCGACGACTGATGCAGAGCTGGACGCGTATATGAACGCTGAGGCTGGGACGTTCTTCCACCCGACGGGGACGGCTGCGATGTCGCCGAAGAGCGCAAAACGTGGTGTGCTTGATCCGGACTTGAAGGTCAAGGGCATTGCTGGACTTCGTGTTGTGGATGCTTCTGTATTCGTGAGTGATGTATTGACGAGTCGTATGGGGGTGATATTGATGACCTTCTTATTGTAGCCGGATATTCCGAGCGGACACACACAGGCAGCTGTTTACGTTGTTGCGGAGCGCGCGGCAGATATTATCAAATCATCCTACGGGAAAGACCATTAGTATGTTGGCTCTTTAACATATGACTGGCAGCGTTGGACAATCAAAGCTAGTTAACCCCTACATCCTTTTTCCTAACCGAATACCGTCTCTTCATATTATTTCCATACCTGACATAATAAACGGAATATGTTGTAATTACTCAATTCTAGTGACCTCCGCCCGCTCATTCGAAACTAAATCTTTGCTGGCAATGTAATCCGTTGACTCGATCTCGGCTGCCGTAAGGGTAGGATCTATGCGCGTCGCAGAACGCGTCGAGCTGAACGTGTCACGTGATGACTTAGGGCCGGCATGGATTGGCTTCGACGTGTCACCTCGGAAGTATCGTCAACACAAGCACCATAATTTTCTACGACCATGAAGCTGAAGGAAATCCACAGAACCTCGACCTTCGCATGGTCGCCTACAGCTTCTCTTCCTTTGCTGGCCACAGGAACCGTTGCAGGCGCACTTGACGAATCCTTCAGTAACGAGAGCCAGCTTGAAATATGGGCACCGAATTTCCTGGACAAGAACGAGTATGATCTCGGCGGGGCTGGCCAGAATGGACCTAGAGGCGTCGTAAAGGATAACTCGAGGTTTGTGGATAGTTATTGTGGGGAACTCGCGTTAACAGCGCTCAATCTGTAGGTTCAATCGCCTGGCGTGGGGTGGTGTATACGACAATCGACCCCGCGGAGTAATCGCAGCCGGTATGGAGAACGGGGAGCTCGCCCTCTGGGATCCTGCCAAGATTCTTGCCGGCGCAGAGTAAGTCTGGCCTTCGTAGTGCTTGATATTGTTGTGAACGTTACCGCGTCATAGGGTGTCGGAATCTCTTATCCTCCGAAACACGACACATACAGGGCCAGTCCGCGGACTCGATTTTAATCCCATACAAACGTCGCTTCTTGCCTCGGGCGGTGTCGCCGGCGAGGTATGATTCGCTACCTGCAATCAATTTTTACACGTCACTTACCTTGGCTGTAGGTGTACATATGGGACCTTAAGGATCCCAGCAAACCATACACGCCAACGCCAGGCTCTCGGAGTACAAAACTCGACGAAATCACCTCAGTTGCCTGGAATCAACAAGTCCAATACGTCCTTGCTGGTGCCAGTAGCACTGGATACACGGTTGTGTGGGATCTGCGAGGGAAGCGGGAAGTTGTCGCTCTAGCATATGGAGGTGGAGCTGGTACGCTTGCAGGGCATGGTGGAAGTGGTAGCGGTATGGCAATGGGTGGCCGAAGGGGTATGAGCGATATTGCCTGGCACCCCGACAACGTACGCTAGCCTGTGCTTCTGGGACACTTACGCGGTACTCACTGTATCTCAGGCTACAAGGCTCGTGACCGCGTCCGAGGATGATTCTTCCCCCGTTATTATGGTGTGGGACCTTCGTAACGCACGCGCTCCCGAAAAGGTAAACCTTTCAAAGGCAGGATCACCGCACTCCGACTAATCACTTCACAGATTCTAACAGGGCATGAGAAAGGTGTCTTATCGTTGTCGTGGTGTAAACAGGATGCCGATTTGCTCCTGTCTTGCGGAAAGGACAACCGCGCCCTTTGTTGGAATCCGCAGACTTCAGAAATCATTGGAGAGGTGGGCGAGAACGCCAATCGATTCCTGGACATGCCTGACCTGGTTTTAGCTTCCTTCCGCAGATAATTGGGCGTTCCAAGTCGATTGGTGCCCCCGCAACCCTGACCTCCTCGCCACTGCATTCTTCGATGGCACAGTCGGAATCCACTCCATCCAATCAACAAACGATACCCCTAGTCAGGAATCCGCAGCTGCCCGGCCTGCTGATGGGGCTGATATCTTCGATGCACCTGGTTTCTCGAGGTCCACAGGAGGCGCTACTCTTTCGCTCAAGCAGCCTCCCAAATGGCTTCGTCGTCCCGCCAGCAACTCGTTCGGAT